AGCTTTTCTGGCTGAATCTCATGAGCCCAACCTGTCAGGGGAAGAACTTCTAAAAATACTGCTTAATACCTTACCTAATTTCTAATCCTCACTTTCTTTTTAAGACGCCGAACGATGCCAGATGGGCCGTCTTCTCTGCTTGGATTTGCAGACGCCTTTAAGAATCGCAAATCTTCTGCACAACCGTGTCCTTTGTTATCTGTGTACAGACTCCTCCTTAGTCAAAATGCACAGGCTGTGATCCCTGGTCTTAGTCTCGGTAACAACATAAGCCAAATAACGGGTGCGGGTGCTCCACCTTCTTTCATCTCTGGCTCATCTCTGCAGGGTGACTAACGTAGATTTGACACAAGCTCCTCTCCGGATGGAGGGCCGCGTCCCCCTTTGTCTGTTCGGGACTGCGATGCACAGAGAGGACCTCCCCGGATGGCTGTAACCAGGGTGGAGCAACTGGGCCTTTGCCCCTGGGCGACCAAAATTTAGAGGGTGCCAATATCTAGAGGCAAAATCCACTGGTGGATAGAAAATAATGCAAGATGGAGATTTGGAACAGCCATCGAGGAAGGCAATGTTCCGAAAAAGCTCTGCTAGACAGCGCTGTGCCTGGAAAACTTATATTCACAACTCAGTTCCCATTTCCAGTGGCTGTATACCACACTCATGTACTTTAGAGAGGAATTGCACCATTTTTGCATTGATACAGATTACAGAAAACGCTGCCATTTGCCTTATTTTTTGCATAGAAGAACTGTGGAGTTTTGCAGCCCGGTCACCCAAGAAAGCTGGAAGGGATGGCTGTCGACAGACAGGGACAGAGGACGGACTGGCTGGCTGGCTACCTTTCTTCCATCTGCTCCTGATCTCCTGCCACTGCTCTCATTAGCTCCTAATTCCTTAGCAGATGGAGAGAGAACGCAGAGCGGAGAAAGTTTCCTCCGGCTTTGGCCACAGACACTCTGCAAGAGAAGCTATTTCTTTGGGGAAGACGAGACTGTAGCTCAGTCTCGCAAATGTGTGCATGATAGTATAACAAGTTCTACTAGCGCACCACCCTGAATGCATCTGATCTTGTCTGATTCGGGAAACCACAGAGGGTCAGTCCTGGTTAGGCCTTGGATGGGAGGCTCCCCCCTCTCCCCAGGGAATACCAAGGACCTCCAAGAACAGATAGGAGGAAATCTCTCCTGAAACAGTGGGGAGCTACGGCTGCCAGTTAGAGCTGGGGATATTGAGCAAGATGGACCGTGTGCCATTGCCAACCCTCAGTGAACTTTCATGATCAAGCAGGGATTCATTCATTCATTCATTCATTCATTCATTCATTCATTCATTAGATTCGTATCCCGCCCATCTAGACTACATCTACTCTGGGCGGCTTCCAGCTAAAACATGAAAACAACATATAAACAATTAAGACAACAATTTAAATCAATAATATTTGTGGCATTCAAGATGGAAAAGCAAAATAGAAGTTAAGATAAACAGAAAATCAAGTATTTTGTTTATTTACCAGATTTATATGCCGCCCATCTATACTGTACTTGGTCTACTCTGGGCGGCTCACAACAATCAAGGTAAAAACAATTGACATATAAAACAATTTTGCCACCTTTTACAACAATTAAACTTGATTTAAGTTTAAACTCAGGTTCCCTAGATTTTTCATTCTGTCTCCTACCCCACAACTGACCATGGTCTGATATTTTAATCTTTACTATTTTAAAATCGTGTTTCTGTCTGGTCTTCAGCTTTGGTGGTCGACAACTGGATTTCCTTGTCTACTTCTGAAAAAGCCACTAGACAAGAATCTTGGGAGGGGGGGAACCTTAGAAACAAGCCAGCTTAATTAGTCACCGACGGTAACGGACGGTACCCCATTTCATCCAGTGGATGGAACACTCTGCTGCTCGAGTGTTCAGATGTTTATACATGTATGTGTGCAGATGGAAGCAGAAAACAGAGAAACATGACAGTAATCATCCATGGTTTTGCTTTTTGCATTTCTCTTCCCTTAGGGAGAGGACCATCTCAGTTTGGGTATGCTTTCAGCAAACACCGAACACAGACATTATTCCAGCGAGTGGTCTCCTAATTCAGCCTCTCTAACAGATGTACCTGCCACCCTTCTGTTTTGTTTGTATTTAAGATTTTCTGGTTACGGAAAAGCAACAGCTGCAGCAAACCAACTCAATCCATGTAGCTGCATCTATGGATTCAAATCATTTCTCTCCATCTTAAATTGCTCTTAAGGAGTTATTATAGGGCCAGAGGTTGGGCGTTTGATTCCCCGTTGGAAATCATTTCTCTCCATCCTAAATTGCTCTTAAGGAGTTATTATAGAGCCAGAGGTTGGGCGTTTGATTCCCCGTTGTGCTGGCAAGTGGTAGATACCATCCCAGAGTGGCCTCAGAAGAAGAGGATGGAAAACTACTCTCTAGCTGGAAAACCCTGAAGTCAGAATTGACATGTCAGCACATGCTGATGATGATGATGTACCATCAAGTTCCTTCTTGTCTGAATCAGAGGCTCCCAAAGGGTCCCGTCGTCAACAGCCTTGCTCAGATCTTGCAAACTCAAGCTTGTGGCTTCCTTGCGGAAGTCAACCCATCTCTTATTGGGTCTTCCTCTTTTCCGGTTGCTTCGAATGTTCCCTAGCATTATCGACCTTTCCAGCAAGGAAAAGTGGTTCCCGATAAAACGAAGCCATGGGCAGAGAATGTATCTTGAGAAGTAAACGTTATTTATGTGGTTTGTTCCTATTTTCTAGGATACATCATAAAAGACCACGACATTTGTTGACAGGGGCCTGACAAGCTGTACTGGCCCCATAGTTTATTTAGGGGTGTTCAGAGACCCCAGTTCTTCATTTGGGTCCAAAACGCATCTCTGAAATGAAAAAGGAACCAGGTCTATAAATAAGGAACTACTAGTTCTGCGCTTGTCATAGCTAGGTGTGGCTTCCACTGACATCACTTGTTTTTCCAGGGTGGAGGCAGGACCAAGAGTCCTGGAAGCTTGAAGTAAGACACCGGGAAGAGGTCTGTGTCGTGGCTTCCTCTCCAAGCAATGAAAGAAGCATCTGCCTTAATCGTCCCCTGGGAAATTCCCGAAGCCTTTTCAGTGAAACCCATGAAGCCCATGTTTAGGTAAAGGTTCCCCTTGACATTGAGTCCAGTCGTGCCTGACTCTAGGGGGCGGTGCTCATCCCCGTCTCCAAGCCGTAGAGCCGGCGTTTGTCCGAAGACAATCCTCCGTGGTCACGTCAGCCCATATTTACTTCCCACTAATCAACCACAAAACAAAAGGAAGCTAACTCACCAAAGGCAGACCAAGGCAATCTTAATGCTAGGAGACGTAGATGTCTTTTCCCTCTCAAGGGAGCACTGTTTCTAATGGCGTGCTAAATGTATTATCCAGTTCTGCCTCCAGCGACTGGGGAATAGGGGACAAGTGGCTGCTAGTCCACTCGTACCTCGATTGTCAGAGGTGACTGCTTGGCCACTCAGGAAAAAGGTTTGCTGGGCTACATCCCCTTTGTCACTTTCATGTCAGTGGTTTCAGGTAGCCAACTGGCCAGAAAATAAGGCAGCCTAGGACGCTTTTCAGACTTCAGAATCTTTAGACAGAGGCATTGGTTAACCCAGTGGTTCCTAACCTTGGGTTACTCAGATGTTGTTGGACTGCAACTCCCAGAAGCCTTCACCACCAGCTGTGCTAGCTGGGGTTTCTGGGAGTTGCAGTTCAAAAACACCTGAATAACCCAAGGTTAAGAACCACTGGGTTAAATAACAACAATAATAGCCAATTAGCCAGGGGTTGCATCAACATGTTTTATCCCCAGCTAATGTCTGTACCTCCTGCCACTGTTAAATGCACAGGAGCACAGGCCGATGAAAACTCTAGCAACCCTAAGTGTGTGTCTGTGTGTGTGTGTGTGGGGAGATTTATTTTTCCACCCAACATTTTATTTTTTTAACCAAGTGAACAAAACTTAAGAACAAAAGCATGAACTGAAACACAAACACAACTCAGAAATAATATACAGCCGAAATAATGATTTCTGCACTATCGCAGCCCCGAGGAACCAGAGTTCTTCCAGGGAATATTCCACACAGAGAAAAGATCACCTGTGGAAGACATTCCTGAGAAAGGGAAATCTTGTAATTCCTCCAACCCACGGAGCGTCCCAAAACCTACTCCCGAGTAGGCCCATCATATAGGCTTGTTTTTTGGGGGGGAGGAAAGGATGCGGGACCCCGCAAGGCTAACCAACTGTGCGTAGCACCCTCTTGAAAGTGCGCGGTAGGGAGACCCGGCGGGGGTGGGAAAATAAATAGGAAAATCTAATG